AGACAGGCATAGAGCCAGTTACTTAAAAGTTGGAAGGAAATAAGAGTTAGATGCAATAATCAAGCGGTGACAAAATTTCCTACTTCAGTTTAAACAATAGTTTTTAATTAATGAAATAAACGAAGACACAAAATAAACAGGGAATTTTGGTGTCAAGTCATCTTACTTTCATAAATAAAACTGCAAAGCTATTAAAATAGCGCAGTTAAATTTCAGCACATACATATATTTATTCACTTTTAGGGAAATTAGCACAAACAAAAATTGACACATCCGCAATAATTGCCACAGGATACCTTTCGTTCAGTTTCTGTAAGCATTATAGATTGAGAATTCAGACAAACACAGTATATGCAAAAATGCCCAATGTGTGAAGGCATGAACACTGTCTTACTTAATTCTTTATGTTGGTAAGTATACTGAATAAAAAAGCCAGTTGAAAATTTGTGTGTAACGTTTGATATCTACACTATCATCATCCTTAAAATTCTAGAAGCCACTGACGTGGTCATAAGTTGTCGTAACCCCTGTAATGTCGGAGAAGCATTGTCACCTTCATCAAACAATACTGAACTGATGGAAATGGCAGTTTAGTCATCGAAAAATCACACTTTGCATAACACGTTCCTGGTCACACACATTTTCTCACTGGTTGTGAGGTAGAATATGGAAATTTATGAACGCTTGAACGTAATTAAGGTCATTATAAAATACAGTCATGAAATGCATGGAAATTTCGTGCTCAATATAAATTTTTTGTTTACGTTAAAATGCACAGTTAAATGAATCATCTACGAACATGACACGAAGAGTTAGGTCCCTTCAGCTGAAAGGCAATCGCGTTATTGAGGCCATTTGTACGGCGTGTCGTGATAAGTATTTTTAAGATTGACGAGATTACCTCCCTTGCAGAAGTGATAATCTGATATTTGCATTGTGACAACCTTCGATTGACGTCTTTAAAAAATGATGAAAACATATTAAAATGATATCTACACTTCTCGAAAGATATTGGAAATGATTTGTGGCCTCTGATATACATAATCTGAATTTAGGTCGTCTCCTAATTGTTCTTTTCGTGTATCCTTGACAGGTATTTCTCTTTCTCAGGACGGGACAGTCCACCCCTTTTCCCGCTGTGAGATTTCCCAGGATTGAGCCAAGCTACACGTGCTCTTTGCACGTTCCGAAAACAATTAAAGTGGAACTACTTTTATGAGATTACACTCATACACAAGTTCGTCTGCTACTCTAATATAATTATCCTCAAAACACTTTTTTATTGAATATATGTATATACAATATCAGGAGGATACTTTTATTTGACATTTAATTGGCATGTACACTAGCATCATATTATGTATAAGTGTCTGAGGCGCGGGAAACGTGACTCATTCATACGTCGACCACGTGGTTTTTGTTTACACACAATACGCTTCGTCTTCAGTGCACTCGGACAAGGAAAACACCTCAAGGTTAGACAAGTAAATCTCACGTCATGGTGGGCGAAAGGTTCCCCTGTCGTGGCAATATGACGTCACAGTAACAATTCAATGACGTCAACGATGTTAGGACAAGAAAAACACGTACGTGTACCTAATAAAGTCAGTAGATTAAGAGAAAAGTAATCCCTCAACACATTTGTTAGTGAGATACGGTGATCCCAACCCTGGGCAAAGCCGTTTAAGTTGCAACCATCGAGTTTGCTAACTTAATCGTCTATCGCCTCGGGATTAGATCTGCCTCACTCACCTCCAAGAGAGTGAGATATTCTAATAATATCACATCCGAGGGTGTGAAAGGTTCCATTTATCCACGGAAAGTGAAAACTCTGTCTTTTCGCTTCAGAAAAGACAACAAATAAAAAAAAAAGAAAAAAAAACCGGAATTCACCTGTGAAGTGTGGAAGGATAGATCAGAGACGTATATATACGTCTCTGGATGGACTGTCAACGATTATTCTGTAAACAGAATGATACGATGTTATTGGATACAGAAAACATTGTTGGTCTTGTAGACAGTTTCGCGAATCATTAACGTGTGATATACTGATGTTTTTATCTGGATTAAAACCTTCCATCGCATCATTAACGATTTTGTCGGTTGTGTCGATTTCATGTTTCGTTGCAATTTATATGTTTGTTTTCTACTGACGTCTTTCGTTACTTTCCTACTGTTTGTTTAATTGTATAAAATTATATTGTTTATTCATGTGTTTCCGGGATACTGACTGTTGTGATTTAGGTATGCCTGTTAACAATGCTTTTAACCACCTTTGAATGAATTCTGGGAAATCATGATTTGACTCCTCATCCACTGAATGGATCCCGTTCTGTCTTTAAGATCTTCACTAATTTGCTTGCATCGGATTGAAAATATCTCTTGATATATAATACAGGTTTCAGACTCTGTAAATCATATGTTTGTTCTTGCTCCAAGCACCCGTGTGGTACAGCCTTTTAGTTAAAACGTTTATCTGAATTAGAATTACTCGATAATTTACCAACAGGATGTGTATTCAGGATGTTTGTATCATTATATAATAATCCAAAGTTTTTACCGTTATTTTCCTCAATGCTGTACAAAGCACACAAAAATATAATATTTAAGACTGCAGGCAGACAAGTATACTGTTGTACATGTGGACACATTTTTCACATTTAGACCAAACTTCGGTAACCAGAAACTAGATTCTCACATTCCATACTATAACTTTTTCTAGAGTCAAAATCTTTTACTCACCACCTTGACTCCTATTGTTTAAATCCTAGAAAACACACATATATACAAATTCTTTGAAATTTCCACAGCAATACTTGTATATACTGTCCTATAGTGGATTCTGTATAATCTTGTGTCCTGACATCGGTTGCGGGCACTTAGTCGGAATACATTTTTCATAATTTCTCCATTGACATTGCCTATTAAAATGTCACCTATTCGTTTTACTATTATTTTGTCTTACATTTTTTAATTTAGCACCATCGAATGATAATCCCTTATACTAAGAAAGTAGAAGATGACGTATGTTTTATTATATAATAGTCATCCGCGGCACCAGTAACAATAATGATGCCGTCTACATGTACATCACGTTTACTACCAAAGTAGAAGTTGATGGCATAAATAAATTAATATCTTATCTGATTGTACATCTTTGTCGATTTCATTTTTCAAAGTTATATTATTATTACCCCACCCCTATTTACTGAGTGTTAATCTTGACTCTAGATCACGGGACGATAACATGAAGCCAATTTTGACACAGTGTTGAGCTACGCATTTTTTTTTGTATAGATTAACATGATTTTCAGGAATTCCTCCCAGTATGTTCACTGTCCTTATTAATATGAATGCAATCTGTGTGACAGACTAATAACCATAACTTCCTTTATCTGTCCACCAGATGGCAGCTTAACATGCATTTTCGTTGAAACAACAGGTGTAAATAGATGCAGTTGGAAAACCATTTTTAAGCTAATATTCTATTTTCTTGATCGTTAACAAACTGGCTGATTTCGATGCTCGTTAATATGAGTTTGTTTTTTAATTACTTCCCCATTTCCTAACTTGAGAACGTGACATTACAGAATTGAGCTGTACATGACTGGCGTCGACTATGAAGCTGAGGGTGCTACACTCCCTAGTTCCTTGTATTATCCCCATGTATATGTCTAGGAAATTCGTGTTAGGAGTAGTATACAACCATTATTTATGGATTGTTATTGAGTTTCAAGTCTACGTCCACATGATATCGTTAAGCAATTACATAAATAAGACATAACAATGTACCTGACAACAGGATAACTTGGGGGAGTGGGGGGTGTAACTGCGGATACTGTTGGGGATACTGGACACTTGGTCACCAAGGCGATGGAGTCGTAGTAAAGACATGCAGTAGTGAATAGATGAGAATTGGAAATTCTTTTCCTCTCGTTGATCGCTTGCCCTCCCTAAGAAAAAAGACATGAAGAGACCTAATGACGAAAAAGGATTCGAATCTCATGAGATGAAAACACTTGACGTCAAGTGAAACATAAGTACACTTAATTAAGTGTGACCATTAGAAAGAGTTCTAATAAGGTACCAGACACATTTGCTAACTTCTGTAAAACATCACTAAGCAGAGTACAATTTGTCTAAAAAGGCGAGTAACTTCTTAATGATAAAACCACGCTCCTCTTTTCTATAAGGCGATGTTAAAACAACCAAGGATGGTAATATAATGGGATGCTCGTGGTATTATATTATCGTCCCAAAGTGGATGAAAAATGCATCTGTTATTGTAGGAATACTGATAGATCTATCCCAATTATATTATTAGAAATTTGAACATAAATCTTCTTGTTCAACAATTGTGTACTCCCTAACGTGGCCGACCAAAACAAGATATATGTTTACAGAACGCAAAGCAGCACTGAATTGAGAAGGATTGTATAACCAACGAAATAAATTTTACTTATAGTCAGAGCGCGGTAGAGTATGTATGTGTTACTTTTTACAATAATCAAAGGTAAATAAAGGCACAATGGATGGTGATGGTCAGACACATTGTCAGATTTCCAGATCGGCGTGTGACTAGTTACAGACTAAGTTGATTTAAATATGTATATAGTGTGTACAGGTAGAGGTATAAAACTGATAAAGGTAAACAAAGGCGGTATAAATTACAACATGTAAATTAGGATTGTAAGTATTTATACCTTGTGTGCTGTGAAAGTATGGAGAATTGATAACAGCCTCCAAATTAATTAGAAGAATGAGATAAGGCCGATTTAAGTCCCTCACTCTCGTGCAACGCCGATGGACTGACCCAGATATTTATATGATAACGTTTCAGCCGTCCGCCTCTATAAAATTCTTACACTGTCAAGGATGTGGATAGGAGATTGCGCGTACATAGCAGAACCTCTGATCAACTTTCGCGCGTAAAGTGTCGCTTACCCTCGCACAGGTCAGTGGCAACACCAAGACAACGCTGGAAAGGGTGACAGTTGGCTAAACGTCTTGCCGTCACTGCGGTCAGGGAAGGGTTAAAACTTCGCACACTACAGTGGAATTGAAGGACCCGAATAGCCTTTAGTTCTGGGATACTCTCACCGACACTTCTTTTCAAAATGGCCACTCCGGGGCTTGACCATTGGGCAGACATCACTGTTGTTGTTCTATACTTCATATGTGTTCTCATCGTAGGGATGTGGGTAAGTCTACTATTTCATAATTTACAACCTATATGGCAAAGTGAGAAATAGGACTTTGTCACGTTCCCAACCGGATCTTACATGAAATGAGTTAAACATTAATAACATGTTTATATGTTTACAATCTGATGTTTACATCGTGCCGTTTACATGTCAACAAAACACAAACATTGCACACCACCTAACACAACTCTATCTGTTACAGGCAGGCAATGCTTTCATCGTCACGTATTTCTATCTCCATCACTCATTTATCAAAGTTATGCGCTTTTTACTCTGAAAAATTGCAATGGTTAGAAGTACATGTGTATATTAATTGTTTTCGAAAACTCTAAACTGTCGTGCAATTTTGAAAGGTAGTTGGCATAAGGTACTCTTCACACATTCACGTAGGGAAACGGCCTCTGATTAGGTCTGTAGACACATTCAGTTCCTCACACAGATCTTGGAGTTAGGTCTAGATCTAGGTCGAATAATGACATCTTAATGTGCCTTCCTCCCCCCCCCCCCAATCCCCTAACCCCTACACCAACCCCAACCTCACCCGCTGCCCACTTGCTTTTGCGGCCCCTTTCCTTTCTCAGCGAGGCATACACTACAACTACTCCCCTCTCTCTGATTCCGGATCAGGGAGCCAGATGATGAGTTGATTATCGATATTTCATATAACATGTACCATGAGTGCGTTATATCAGGGTTAGTCTACATTTATACGAATCTATACTCTTCTTTACTTTTCCCTAAGACTTAACTACCCTGTTATTGGTGCAGTAACACCTGCCATAGCACTTTATTATGACCATAAATATGACATGACCTAGTGGAGCCGTGGAAGTTTTGAAGGTTTTCGTAAACTCCATTGGGACACCGTACTCTCATGGCTTCATATCCATGGCGACGTCACTATCGTAGTTATCTGCTTAATACAATGTTGTTTGAAAAAGTACTTTAGTTATGTGATAAACATAATTTCAAATTTGCTTCAGTTTCCCATTTCATGTCTTTGACTGAAGGCTTTAATTTTTCTAACCTTCTTCATGAAACACGGAAATTAACAGTAAAAAGCGCCCTGTCCGGACGGACATACAGTGTGTTCCGGACGAGCGTACAGTGTGTGTTTCCAATAATCAGGAAATGGAACCACAGACCAGAAAAACCATAACAGTGTCATAATGGAGCAAAGATGGTGAGAACAAGCAATCACAGATCATAATTATTACATATCTACAATTTAGTGAATGCCACTCCACGGGGCGTACACTGTTGGTTGATAAGATCGCCCTAGGAAACGACACACCAAGACGAAACAACCAGTTCTATAGCAACTTTATTTACGATAGGTTAGAATTTAAAGCTTTTCAGTGAATGTGAAATATGAGAAGCTTACTTCCACCAAGGTCAGTGGCGGAAAGCTGTTATTTACAGCTACAGGGGCCCAAAGGGCATCACTAAATGAAGTCTTGCAGAAGGACTGATACATGTAACTTGTTGTTAGGATTTTGTGTTATCTATATGACAGAGGTGGGGGTATTTTGGTTATATATTGAAATTTTGCAGATACTTCCATCAGTTCGATCAAGCAATGTTAAATGAAGTTTGTAAAATGTACAGGGAAAGTGTGTTCGAGGGCCCCAACAAATACAGATTTCATTCGCACTTGGCGCAAGATTTTGTTCAAAATATCGCGCTGAAAATGTCGCTAATTAGATTAACATGACCCAACAGCTAAGGTCACCTTAATTGAATGAAGACAGTGTCCTGCTGTTTCCCTGTAGTGCTATTATGTGCCAGTGTCATCACAACATCATGACACCTCATTCGGCCTTATTGCCGCGAAATCAGTAATACCTCGCTTTGAACAGACGTTCAACAATAAGGCCAAAAAGTAAGGTATTGTCATGTTAGGTAGGAAGTAAATATGCTGAAAAAGAAAAGATAACGATCTCAAATCTAATCGGATTTAGCGATCACGTAATTTGGACAACAAGTTTAAGTCTTGCCCCAGCCATAAACAAATAGAAATATATATTTAAGTCATGTCAAAACGATACAAGTACAAGCTGATGCCACAAAGCATCTTAACTATCACATAACTCGTAATGCAATCATAATGACGGCAACACATGATGTAAGAGTTTGTTTCCGTCAGCCGTTGACATTTTTCACTTAAATGTCGGGAATAAGTCCGATATTGTAACACCATTAGATGTGGAAGCAGGGATATCGCTATCTAGAAAGCGAAAATTATAAGCCTTAGTTTGTTGCGTTTAAGTAAATATCGAGGTAAGCGACTGATGGAAAAGAATCAGTTGTGTCCTTGATTTTAAATTACGGGAAGAACATTCGATTATTTTCTGCTTATTGAAAAGCGTAACTGTATTTACAAGCAAAATTTAACAATTGGATATGTTATAATTTAATACGTTGTTTGAGATATGAAATGTCTATGACGCTGAAATATTTAATATCGACAGGTCAACGTTAACGACATTTTCAATCGAAGACAAGCATTATAAAGACTTAAGTATGATTCAACATGTCGGTAAGAATCTATGATCTGACAAATTGACTGTGGTTGGTATGTGGTTAAGGAGGAAAATGGTTGACAACTTCCCTTAGTAGGTCAGAAGAGAGCTATTATACTTAAATAAAAGTTTAATGGACGATAACATCTAAACTGTAATATAAATGCATATCGTTTAATTACAGACGGTGTGTCGCCGGAACCGGAATGACGTCAACTCTTACTTTTTGGCGGGACGGAACATCGCTTGGTGGCCGGTACAGTAATCATAACTGTACTTTAAGATCCAAATATTCAAAATACTGTATAAATCAGTTACAAACGTATATATACTAGCAGTTATACGTAAACACCTTATAACCACCGACTCCCTAATGCAAGGTCTGTTGCTAAAAAATAAACATTATAAACATCATCATGACTACATATTTTATTAACAGATTACATCTAGATTTGTATTTGATACTGAAGAATCGTATTATTACAGGTGGGAGCATCTTTGTTCTCGAGTAACATAGGGAGTGAACACTTTGTTGGACTAGCCGGTACTGGGGCGGCTGCTGGAATAGCCATGATCTCTTACGAATGGTTTGTAAGTATTCCTACATAAAGGTTGTAATAAGTATTTTATTTTAAACTTTGGTGAATAATATATTACTCTGTACACTTCCATAGCCAGTGTTAATGAAGACAAAATATGACAGTATAATGAAATAACTCTATGTCCCGTTGTATATGACCCGCAAAAAATTACTATATATAATATGAAGAATATTTCCTAATTGTTGAAGGATGATGTTTCCAGAGATGTATTAAGTACATGTGCTTTCTCTGTACAATATTTTCTGTGATTGAGTTTGGAGGCGTGAAGGGCTTTATTTTGCTAATTCGTTAATTTACTTCCTTCCATTTCCTGTAAGGCTCGGTATGGCTTGGACTTATGCTTTCACCAAATCTCTCGCGTTCTTTGGATTGAAAGGTTTTTGTGTCGTGTCCTTTCTATTCTAATTTATCTTATATCCATATGTATCAAGTAACATTTATTAAAAAAGATACATTTTATGTATTTAACTTGTATGGCAGCATTTTATTATCACTATAGACTCACATATTATGTCTGTAATATCTCTCTCACAGAGTATGCCGCTGGTCCTGTTACTGGGCTGGTTTTTCCTTCCCGTCTACATCTCCGCTGGGGTAAGTGTCTCTCGTCGACTCCAGAAAGTGTCTTATTATATAGTAGTATTAACTAGCTAGAGGACACATAAGCCCATTTAAATATGTAAAAAAGGTATTTGAGAAAATCTCCATAGTATCAATTAGTGTTTCAGAGTATCATTCCCCATTTCCCAGCAAGTCTGTTACATATAAAACATTCCATGACAAAACCCTCCTTGGTAAATCAAGTCGTTTACTTATAGAATATTCCCTGACAAATCCATCCTTGGTACATCAAGTCTGTTACATATAGAATATTCCCTGATAAAACCCTCCGGGGTACATCAAGACTGTTACATGTAAAATATTCACTGGCAAAACCCTCCCAGGTACATCAAGTCCGTCACATATAGAATATTCCCTGACAAAACCCTCCTTGGTACATCAAGACTGTTACATATAGAATATTCACTGACAAACCCTTCCTCGTACATCAAATCCGTTACAACCCAAACTTATTCTTACATTGTTAAGACCACTAGTATGCAAGAACAGTATAATTTTTCCCTGTTTAAATATGCATATACATTTTGTACATACACATACAAGTACATAAATATGTTATATTTGTGCACTACTATATATGGTACAGGTCTACACTCTTCCGGAGTATATGGAGAAACGGTTTGGTGGCTATCGAATCCGGATCTACCTCAGTGTGCTGGCTCTTATATTATACATAGTCACCAAGCTTGCCGTAAGTATTGCTGTCGTTCAACTAATTAGAAAACAAAATTGAAATTATTTTAAAGGAAATCACATTGAAACGTTAGTTCTCTCACAGAGTTGATATTGGTTATGTCCTTTATGGATTGCGTTGGACCAGCTGTACAATAGGTGTTTTGAAAATATGAAGGGCGATATAGAGTAAGTATTGCACTGGTAACAAAGCTGTAGGTAATCGTGAGAACGTTTGAAACTAACTCATTTAAAATCTTATCTTTTCTTTTTCAGGTACTAGAGACAAGGTCTTTATAAATGTATGTCTGTATGTCTATATACATATTTTAAACTTTGTTTTGCCTTACAGGTGAGTATATTTGCCGGAGCTCTTTTCATACAGTTAGCCCTGGGTTGGGACATGTACCTCAGTATACTAGCGTTACTGGGAGTCACTGCAGTTTACACCATACTCGGTAACGAACCTTAACATCATTGAATCTGTTTATAAATATTTTTACACGTGAATAACTTTCAAATGTTCAATTGAAAAACGTTAAATCAAACATAATTCTGTAGAATAGATATTCTTATAACATAACAAGTAGCAGATTTGAGTGTGACGTTTCGATGACTACACGGTCACCTTCATTAGAAAAATTATCAGTTGAAGAGTTTTAGCACGGACATATGTAGTGTAAGAGATGTGAAAAGTATAATCACACGTACACTAGAGCAGAAGAAAGTGTGACGAGATGGTAAAACATACTTCTGAAAAAGAAAAATTCCTTTTTTGACGTTCCCAACACGGAGAAAATATTCCAAAATAAATATATCATATATATAATTTGTTGAAATGATTTTTAGTTGGAGATATGTGTTAAAGTACACATCGGTTTTCTTTGTCCTATATTTTAGTTTTTATTCCTTTCCCCATTACAACCATAACCATTTCTGTGACATTCACATGTACTCTATGTTATATCTATGATATAGCTTACATACATTGGTTTGTCCGTTACCCGACAGGTGGACTGGCCGCTGTTATCTACACGGACACCTTCCAGACCGCCATTATGACCATTGGAGCCTTGGCACTAGTGGGAATTAGTAAGTCTGGATAAACCATTCAGTCACTGTGGTTCTTATCGTTTATTAGCTGAAATTATGGCAATGATAGACGATTATTCTTTGTTTGTCATCAAAGAAAAAAAACCAAACAAATAAACAAAAATTACTCGACACTGTTTTTGCTTCTGTTTTGAAATTGCTACACCCATTCCTCTCCGTAACGATAATGCATAATGTCTTTCAGCACAACAAGTGCTATGGCTGTTTATCTGTCCAGATTTGAATCTGTCCTTAAACATTAAACTGTTTAACGAATTGTACCTTTCCTTTTCTAAGGTTTTAATGAGATCGGGGGATACAACAACCTAGAGCGGAAGTACATGGATGCGATTCCAGCGGTGCGTGAGCCAAACAGTACGTGTGGTTTCCCGCGTGATGACGCTTTCCACATCTTTCGGGATCCCATAACGGGAGATAACCCATGGCCAGGACTTTTGCTCCAAAGCTCCTTAGGGTGTCTCTGGTATTGGTGCTGTGATCAGGTAAGACGAAAAAACCCACACACTCAAACAGCACTTTGGAACACATTACGGCCTCATCGTGTTAACAAACAAGATGGCGTCTGCGTCGTCTTAAAAAATACCCATAATTCGTAGGATTTTTCGAGTAATTTTTAGTTGGGTCTTATCCTTGATAATTATCAATTCTAACCAATAAGCAAAACTAAACTCGTCTCTCAAAGAAAAAAATATGATTTCACCATAGATGTAGTGAAATTGCGACATGTTTACTGGTATAAATTGAAAAAAAAGTTACTTTCTACGTCAACTAATGGGGCATCAGTAAAGTTACTGTCGATGTGGTATGCCAATACGATAATTTCGTTCCGAAAAGATGTTTTATTTGAAGATATCCTTTTATATTTAGGAACTCCCACAGGAACTTTTCATGTCATATTAAATTTTATGAAACAATTCAAGTTTTTTGTTTTAAGACGCGCAGAAATCTGATGTTACACTGCTGACATTTACGCAAAATAATATCACATGGATGAGTTCACATGAGGCCGATTATGTGATAAAACATTTTCTCATTTGACATGTAGTTATCTAACTGACCTTTTGCATATTTGTTTCTGTGAAAAATCGATTTTCATTGATTTTTTTTGTGTTCAAAAGGAAATAGGATACTGTTGAGCGGTAAAATGAAGTTGCATAATTATGAATGTTTTTCTTTATAAATATATAATCATTATTACATGTCGCTTAATTCCAGGTGATAGTGCAGCGCTCTCTGGCGGCCAAGAACCTATCTCATGCTAAAGGGGGGTCAATTTTGGCCGGTTACCTTAAACTGTTGCCTCTCTTCCTCATGATATTCCCAGGCATGATAAGTCGCGCTTTATACCCAGGTAAGGTTAAAATCTCAGTTATATGGTAGGATCCTTATCCGGGGCGGGTAATGTTGCTCGGAAAACAGATACTCGTGGACATGAATGATTTTTTCTTCATCAAATATGGAAGTGAAAGGAAGATATCAACAATCTATATTATTTCAAAAAGTACAAAACCGAGGATTTCTGAATATGTATATGCTTTATTATTACAGACGAAGTCGCGTGCGTAGACCCAGAAGTATGTAAGAGGGTGTGCGACAATCCTGTCGGCTGCTCAAACATAGCCTATCCAAAATTGGTCCTGGAGTTACTTCCCTTCGGTAAGTATACCTAAATGAGACGATCAGTATTATTTTTATGGTTTTTTCCACAGGTATGTAAACGAGATCTGTAAAACGGAGTGAAACCGTTACCATTTACAAGAAGGATTTGAAAAAACATTTGTATCTTAAAAAGTGAAAATAAGCATTGCTTGGCCAGAACAACAATCAAATGATGCTTTATAGTTTAATACATCATTTGGATCTGCTGGCATTACTTTCCTTAAATATGTAGTACTAAATACAGATGGTGCTGTAACACAATACAGTGTCTATTTTAGATATTGTCGTTGCATCAGAATAAATCATGTAAATACATTTTGTATAATGTTGTCATTTTCTGTCCAGGTGTCCGCGGATTGTTAATGGCAGTAATGTTGTCTGCCATTATGAGCTCTTTAACTTCCATCTTTAACAGTTCAAGTACAATTTTTACTATGGATCTGTGGCGAAGGGCCCGACCAAGGGCTACAGAGCGGGAACTTCTTATCGTTGGCAGGTTTGTTCACTTTGGTATCCTTTCCGTAAGGCTGATACGACTCCGTATGTTTATGACTGTATGATCATTTAAATAATCATGAGTCGGCTTAACTTCATATTTCATCTCTCTGCGTTCTATACAATAACGTTAAGTCAGCTAAACTTCATATTTCATCCCTTTGCGTTCTATACAATAACGTTAATTCAGCTAAACTTAATATTTCATTCCTCTGCGTTCTATTCAATAACGTTAAGTCAGCTTAACTTCATATTTCATTGACAAAAACAAAACACCTTTCTTATAAATTTCCCTTTTGAAACTCAACAATCGAATCCTGATGAGTTCTAATTATTGGTGAAAATGGTTGTGATTTCTCCTTTTGAAACCAACTGTACACGGATCACATAGGAATACATTGGCTAAATCAAAACTGATAAACGCGGTCTAAAAGTTCAACACCATTTCATCCCTGTAGGTTTGTTATGTAAACCATTCGATGTCTTTGTAGGATATTTATTGTGATCCTGTGTGGTATCAGTATTGCCTGGATACCCTTGGTGCGATCATCACAAGGGGGACAACTCTTTAACTATATCCAGGCTATACAAGGCTATCTTGGCACGCCGATTGGAGCATTGTTTATCCTTGGCGTTTTCTGGAAGCGAATGAACGAACAGGTATATTTTCATATAATTATGTATCTAACATTGTTTTAAGACAATCATTTAATTAGAATTAATTAGAATTCACAAACTAATGTTTCATTTATTTTTATTTATATTAATAGGGGGCCTTCTGGGGTATTTTGATTGGTCATATATGCGGAGTAATACGAATGGCTATAGATTTTGCCAATCCAGCCCCCGAGTGCGGAGAACCGGAAACTCGTCCGTCGATATTGCTTAGGGTTCACTACACATACTTCGGTTCCATTATGATTTTAGTCACCTCTGTTGCCATCATCATCATCAGCTTGTTAACACATCCACAGAGAGAGGAGGAGGTAAGTTTTATCTAATTCCGTTCCAGTATAATACACTTCACTAAAAGTCGCTAAAGCCTGCGAAGGTTAAAATGGTTAGGGGTGACCTGGTCCTCGATAGTAACAGTTAGTTAGGGATGACCTGGTCCTCGATAGTGACAGTTAGTTAGGGGTGACCTGGTCCTCGATAGTAACAGTTAGTTAGGGGTGACCTGGTCCTCGATAGTAACAGTTAGTTAGGGGTGACCTGGTCCTCGATAGTGACAGTTAGTTAGGGGTGACCTTGTCCTCGATAGTAACAGTTAGTTCGGGATGGCCTGGTCCTCGATAGTGACAGTTAGTAAGGGATGACCTGGTCCTCGATAGTGACAGTTACGTGTGACCTGGTCCTCGATAGTGACAGTTAGTCAGTTGTGACCTGGTCCTCGATAGTGACAGTTGGTTAGGGATGACCTGGTCGTCGATAGTGACAGTTAGTTCTGGATGACATGGTCCTCGATAGTGACAGTTAGGTAGGGGTGACCTGGTCCTCGATAGTAACAGTTAGTTAGGGGTGACCTGGTCCTCCATAGTGACAGTTAGTAAGGGATGACCTGGACCTCGATAGTGACAGTAGGTTATGAGTGACCTGGTCCTCGATAGTGACAGTTAGTTATGTGTGACCTGGTCCTCGATAGTGACAGTTAGTTAGGGGTGATCTGGTCCTTGATAGTGACAGTTGGTTAGGGGTGACATGGTCCTCGATAGTGACAGTTAGTTAGGGGTGACCTGGTCCTCGATAGTAACAGTTAGTTCGGGATGGCGTGGTCCTCAATCGTGACAGTTAGTTATGGGTGACCTGGTCCTCCATAGTGACAGTTATTTAGGGGTGACCTGGTCCTCGATAGTAACAGTTTGTTAGGGGTGACCTGGTCCTCCATAGTGACAGTTAGTAAGGGATGACCTGGACCTCGATAGTGACAGTAGGTTATGAGTGACCTGGTCCTCGATAGTGACAGTTAGTTATGTGTGACCTGGTCCTCGACAGTGACAGTTAGTTAGGGGTGATCTGGTCCTTGATAGTGACAGTTAGTTATGTGTGACCTGGTCCTCGACAGTGACAGTTAGTTATGTGTGACCTGGTCCTCGACAGTGACAGTTAGTTAGGGGTGATCTGGTCCTTGATAGTGACAGTTAGTAAGGGATGACCTGGACCTCGATAGTGACAGTAGGTTATGAGTGACCTGGTCCTCGATAGTGACAGTTAGTTATGTGTGACCTGGTCGTCGACAGTGACAGTTAGTTAGGGGTGATCTGGTCCTTGATAGTGACAGTTAGTTATGTGTGACCTGGTCCTCGACAGTGACAGTTAGTTATGTGTGACCTGGTCCTCGACAGTGACAGTTAGTTATGTGTGACCTGGTCCTCGATAGTGACAGTTAGTTAGGGATGATCTGGTCCTTGATAGTGACAGTTAGTTCGGGATGGCGTGGTCCTCAATCGTGACAGTTAGTTATGGGTGACCTGGTCCTCCATAGTGACAGTTATTTAGGGGTGACCTGGTCCTCGATAGTGACAGTTAGTTAGGGGTGACCTGGTCCTCGATAGTGACAGTTAGTTAGGGGTGACCTGGTCCTCGATAGTAACAGTTAGTTCGGGATGGCGTGGTCCTCGATAGTGACAGTTAGTTAGGGGTGACCTGGTCCTCCATAGTGACAGTTATTTAGGGGTGACCTGGTCCTCGATAGTGACAGTTAGTTAGGGGTGACCTGGTCCTCGATAGTGACAGTTAGTTAGGGGTGACCTGGTCCTCGATAGTGACGGTTAGTTAGGGGTGACCTGGTCCTCGATAGTGACAGTTAGTTCTGGATGACATGGTCCTCGATAGTGACAGTTAGTTAGGGGTGACCTGGTCCTCGATAGTGACAGTTAGTTAGGGGTGACCTGGTCCTCGATAGTGACAGTTAGTTCTGGATGACATGGTCCTCGATAGTAACAGTTAGTCAGGGGTGACCTGGTACTCGATAGTGACTGTTAGTTAGGGGTGACCTGGTCCTAGATAGTGACAGTTAGTTCTGGATGACATGGTTCTTGATGGTGACAGTTAGTTAGGATGGCTCGGATGTGCATTCTCAGCCGAGCGTCACACGTATGTTTTTGTCTGTATGGTCTATAGCAAAAGTTTGAGTATAGCATTACTTAGTGGTAATCATAGTTGTGAGAAGAAAAAAATAAACTCTGGCAATCGTCATTCATGACCTCAAATACATTTTTTTTTATCATTTCTGTTTCTCCGTAGTGTGTTAAGTGTATACCTAAATATCCGTGACCATTGGGTGATCGCAGTGTGTACAAACTCACTCGTCTACAGGGGTCAATTTGTCGGCTGGTGCTTGGGAAAAACAAAATTAATATGTCTGAAATGTTTATGTTCGAAAATATTGATGTGTATTAGCCGGACAGTAAAGATCAATATGATAATACTAATAAGATCAATCAAGATGATTTAATATGTGATTATAGCTAGAAGGAGTAACTTGGTGGACCAGACTGAAGCCTGAAGACAAGGGAAATAACTCTACCGTACGTGACAGTGAATCAGCCAAAGAAAACAATCCTGCCACAAATGGTACGTTATCTAGTGTGACCCGAGTGTGTTTCCAGCCACAAATGGTTCGTTATCTAGTGTGACCCGAGTGTGTATCCAGCCACAAATGGTACGTTATCTAGCGTGACCCGAGTGAGTATCCAGCCACAAATGGTACGTTATCTAGTGTGACCCGAGTGTGTCCAGCCACAAATGGTACGTTATCTAGTGTGACCCGAGTGTGTATCCAGCCACAAATGGTACGTTATCTAGTGTGACCCGAGTGAGTATCCAGCCACAAATGGTACGTTATCTAGTGTGACCCGAGTGTGTGTCCAGCCACAAATGGTACGTTATCTAGTGTGGCCCGAGTGTGTGTCCAGCCACAAATGGTACGTTATCTAGTGTGACCCGAGTGAGTATCCAGCCACAAATGGTACGTTATCTAGTGTGACCCGAGTGTGTGTCCAGCCACAAATGGTACGTTATCTAGTGTGACCCGAGTGTGTGTCCAGCCACAAATGATACGTTATCTAGTGTGACCCGAGTGTGTATCGAGTCACCAATGGTACGTTATACAGTGTGACCCGAGTGTGTGTCCAGCCACAAATGGTACGTTATCTAGTGTGACCCGAGTGTGTGTCCAGCCACAAATGGTACGTTATCTAGTGTGACCCGAGCGTGTATCAAGGAATCACGAACTCTTACAATACGGTTACTTTTTCTCATACAGGTGAGACGTGCGTGTTTCGATCACTTGTCGGAACGGTTACTTTTTCTCATACAGGTGAGACGTGCGTGTTTCGGTCACTAGCCGGAAAGGTTACTTTTTCTCATACAGGTGAGACGTGCGTGTTTCGATCACTTGTCGGAACGGTTACTTTTTCTCATACAGGTGAGACGTGCGTGTTTCGGTCACTAGCCGGAAAGGTTACTTTGTCTCAGGAAGTTTAGCCGTGCGTGGTTCGGTCATTAGTCGGAACGGTTAATACTTCTCAGGAAGTCGAGAAAAACGTGGTCGGTGAGAAGTTGGAGAGCTGCAATTAAGAAGACCTGTCCTTACTCATTTAGATTTATGAAAACAAACCTTTTAGAGTCATAATCGTACATGTTATATGATTTCGATAAAAAAACAACAAAGATTTTTGATAACTTTATAATATATATATAGGAATTGTTGTTGTAGTTTGTCTCCTATTTTCCGACCGACTAAGTGTACACAACTTATTTAAGTCTGTAAATTTTATCAAACTAAGAAAGGAGTTATTAGATGAGTAACATTTATAGAACTGTTACTGATGTAGATGTAATATCCTAATTTCATTGATAGTGATACATAAATGATCGAAGGAAACAAAAATCATGTTTCCCTTATTGAAGGGCATGTCATGGATATCTCTATTGACCATAATGCGTGAAAACATTTCTAAAAAATAAAATCAAACGAATTGCAGCGAGACGTTTACATCGTGCTCATTCAGAAAATACATAATCAGTTCTGTTTCCGGTCCGTAGAACGGACGTTCATAACTGAGTTATTCTTTAAAAACGGATACTTGTGTTACCACCTGACTGTCTAGTCTGATATGTAGCTTCTCTTACTGTCATAATCTACTGTATTGAAGTCCTTTTAGTGAAAATAATATTTTTATACATACTAGGTATAGAAATCGCTGAACCGGAAGATGAAAGACCAACAGGATGTGCTAAGCGTGCCTGCGACTATATTTGTGGAATGCCTGAAAATGAAACCGGTTCGACTACACCAAGCACAGACGAGACTCAGATTAGGAAATTTTTGAAGGAAAACAAGAGATGGACAAGAGTTTTAAATGTCAATGCAGCCATTGGACTCATAGTAACGGCCTTTCTTTATGGGTTCTATCGATGACATGGTCAATCATTCTGTCCAATTGTTAAAGGGATTGCGTTTAAAATCTTTATGTCAATGACAATGCATGTACAACGATGACTGTACTGGAACGAAATTGACACGCACGTGGGCATTTGAAGAACAATTTATTAAATCAAATATCGTATGGAGAGAGAAAAGCTAATTCGTTTCCAAGATTTAAACCAATGCGTTACACTAAAGATACAACTATATGTAAATATGTACAATTTAGAATGATTTATCATATTTTTTCAGTGTAAGTGGACCTACACACCCCAATAGTTAAGATACGTTTTACCATTACAAACCCTGTATATTATATTATTTTCTACAAAAGCTGATTATCAAATAAATCTAAAGTCAAGGTTTTATAACACACTCATAATAAAAAATTCTTATGTAACAAAAGGAGAATACTCATAAATATATCTGAAGGTTCCGGTGTAAACACCTAATGTCATGTCAGAAAGCTTTATCATATAAAGATGTAGGTTATGACACGAATCACTTCCACACCTTCAAATTTCCGCTGGACCTATGGATGCCAAAATAATAAAGATATATATGAAAAATAAGTCAATAAAACACGATTACGTTTTAATGTTTGACTGTGTTATAGTTGTGATGGTTTAATTTGTTGTAGTTGTGAGGTCTGACTGTTGTAGTTGTGAGGTCTGACAGTGTTGTAGTTGTGAGGGTTCAATGAGTTGTAGTTGTGAGGTCTGACAGTGTTTTAGTTGTGATGTCTGACTGTGTTGTAGTTTTAAGTTTTAATGTGTTGTAGTTGTGAGGTCTGACAGTGTTATAGTTGTGAGGGTTTACTGTGTTGTAGTTGTGAGGTCTGACTGTGTTGTAGTTGTGAGAGTTTATTGTGTTGTAGTTGTGAGGTCTGACAGTGTTGTAGTTGTGAGGTCTGAGTGTGTTGTAGTTGTGAGGGTTTACTGTGTTGTAGTTGTGAGGTCTGACTGTGTTGTAGTTGTGAGGTCTGACTGTGTTGTAGTTGTGAGGGTTTACTGTGTTGTAGTTGTGAGGTCTGACTGTGTTGTAGTTGTGAGGTCTGACTGTGTTGTAGTTGTGAGGGTTTACTGTGTTGTAGTTGTGAGGTCTGACTGTGTTGTAGTTGTGAGGGTTTACTGTGTTGTAGTTGTGAGGTCTGACTGTGTTGTAGTTGTGAGAGTTTACTGTGTTGTAGTTGTGAGGTCTTCCTGTGTTGTAGTTGTGAGGGTTTACTGTGTTGTAATTGTGAGGGTTTACTGTGTTGTAGTTGTGAGGTCTGACTGTGTTGTAGTTGTGAGGGTTTACTGTGTTGTAGTTGTGAGGTCTGACCGTGTTGTAGTTGTGAGGTCTGACTGTGTTGTAGTTGTGAGGACTGACCGTGTTGTAGTTGTGAGGGTTTACTGTGTTGTAGTTGTGAGGGTTTACTGTGTTGTAGTTGTGAGGTCTGACTGTGTTGTAGTTGTGAGGGTTTACTGTGTTGTAGTTGTGAGGTCTGACAGTGTTGTAGTTGTGAGGTCTGACTGTGTTGTAGTTGTGAGAGTTTATTGTGTTGTAGTTGTGAGGTCTTCCTGTGTTGTAGTTGTGAGGGTTTACTGTGTTGTAGTTGTGAGGTCTGACTGTGTTGTAGTTGTGAGGTCTGACTGTGTTGTAGTTGTGAGGGTTTACTGTGTTGTAGTTGTGAGGTCTGACTGTGTTGTAGTTGTGAGGTCTGACTGTGTTGTAGTTGTGAGGGTTTACTGTGTTGTAGTTGTGAGGTCTGACCGTGTTGTAGTTGTGAGGTCTGACTGTGTTGTAGTTGTGAGGACTGACCGTGTTGTAGTTGTGAGGGTTTACTGTGTTGTAGTTGTGAGGGTTTACTGTGTTGTAGTTGTGAGGTCTGACTGTGTTGTAGTTGTGAGGACTGACCGTGTTGTAGTTGTGAGGGTTTACTGTGTTGTAGTTGTAAGGTCTGACTGTTGTAGTGGTGAGGGTTTACTGTGTTGTAGTTGTGAGGTCTGACTGTGTTGTAGTTGTGAGGGTTTACTGTGTTGTAGTTGTGAGGGTTTACTGTGTTGTAGTTGTGAGGTCTGACTGTGTTGTAGTTGTGAGGGTTTACTGTGTTGTAGTTGTCAGGTCTGACAGTGTTGTAGTTGTGAGGGTTCAATGTGTTGTAGTTGTGAGGTCTGACAGTGTTTTAGTTGTGATGTCTGACTGTGTTGTAGTTTTAAGTTTTAATGTGTTGTAGTTGTGAGGTCTGACTGTGTTGTAGTTGTGATAGTTTATTGTGTTGTAGTTGTGAGGTCTGACAGTGTTGTAGTTGTGAGGTCTGAGTGTGTTGTAGTTGTGAGGGTTTACTGTGTTGTAGTTGTGAGGTCTGACTGTGTTGTAGTTGTGAGGTCTGACTGTGTTGTAGTTGTGAGGGTTTACTGTGTTGTAGTTGTGAGGTCTGACTGTGTTGTAGTTGTGAGGTCTGACTGTGTTGTAATTGTGAGGGTTTACTGTGTTGTAGTTGTGAGGTCTGACTGTGTTGTAGTTGTGAGGTCTGACAGTGTTGTAGTTGTGAGGTCTGACTGTGTTGTAGTTGTGAGAGTTTACTGTGTTGTAGTTGTGAGGTCTTCCTGTGTTGTAGTTGTGAGGGTTTACTGTGTTGTAGTTGTGAGGGTTTACTGTGTTGTAGTTGTGAGGTCTGACTGTGTTGTAGTTGTGAGGGTTTACTGTGTTGTAGTTGTGAGGTCTGACTGTGTTGTAGTTGTGAGGTCTGACTGTGTTGTAGTTGTGAGGACTGTGTTGTAGTTGTGAGGGTTTACTGTGTTGTAGTTGTGAGGGTTTACTGCGTTGTAGTTGTGAGGTCTGACTGTGTTGTAGTTGTGAGGGTTTACTGTGTTGTAGTTGTGAGGTCTGACCGTGTTGTAGTTGTGAGGACTGACCGTGTTGTAGTTGTGAGGGTTTACTGTGTTGTAGTTGTGAGGTCTGACTGTGTTGTAGTGGTGAGGGTTTACTGTGTTGTAGTTGTGAGGTCTGACTGTGTTGTAGTTGTGAGGGTTTACTGTGTTGTAGTTGTGAGGTCTGACTGTTGTAGTTTTGAGGTCTGACTGTGTTGTAGTTGTGAGGTCTGACTGTGTTGTAGTTGTGAGGGTTTACTGTGTTGTAGTTGTGAGGTCTGACCGTGTTGTAGTTGTGAGGTCTGACTGTGTTGTAGTTGTGAGGACTGACCGTGTTGTAGTTATGAGGGTTTACTGTGTTGTAGTTGTGAGGTCTGACTGTGTTGTAGTTGTGAGGGTTTACTGTGTTGTAGTTGTGAGGTCTGACTGTGTTGTACTTTGATTTTTGTTATTAATGGAAAAAATTAATTTTGTTTGTTTTGTTGGCCCTAAATGAACAACTTGGCCTATATTTGTGAACTGGACACATTGTTTTTGACAGATTAACCTCTACAAAAATTATTATAAAATGATATCACGATCTAAGCAAAGGGACTTGTACCTATACAGGCGGTAGAGTACTGCATATCCATTAACATCATCAGCCCGGCCAATCAGTCTAGATGTTTCAATCCGTGTCCCGGAACGTCCTTGTGATAGTGGCGATCAACCCACTCAAAGCATTGATTCCAGTCTCTCTCCTCCTGTCTGTTCAACAGCCTGCATGATGCACGTTCAGTCGCCTTATCTAATCTGTGCACTACCATCTTACGTAACGTTTCGAATACACCCAAAAGCATGTGATGTCATCCAGTCTGTGCAGACTGGTAACCCTCTGCATCCTACTTCTACAGGAAACAGCCTCGATCCCTGCACTGTTTCATGAGTTCTGTATACTTGGCTCATTTCCTCTCACTAGCCTGGTCACACCGCTCCTCCCAGAGCGCAGTCAGCTCGATGACTACTAACTGCTTGCATTTGGCGGACCATATCACCACATCTGGATATACATGTATGTTGTCTGCATGACGTCCAGAAACACAAGTTTACTTCTCCAAGTATACTCCTATTTCCTATGACCGTGCCAGTTTTTTCCCGCTGCAGCTTCCTTCTCCGGCTTCCCTGCTTTAACAAACCATATGAATTGGTCATGCCATGCAAGTTTCCGCTCCGGCTGCTTTCATCTTGTCCAAGCTCTTTGCGAGCCCATTCACACTGCTCTTACTTTCCTTTGTCCGTTCTTCTACTTTTCTCCACGATGTCCGAATCTGGATTCCTGCGCGTCTCTACAGTTTTTGGTTTTTTTTCATATATTAAAATATGATGTACAGAAAACTGTGATGAAACTATTTAAGGTAAAGACGACTTTACTTCAGATACCCAATCAAAAGACCATGGGGTGTCCAGGCGATGTGTATAGAAACGACAATCTGGTACCGAAATTAGAGCATTGAGTGATATTGATGTAGCCACGGTCTTGCTGTCGTCACTAATTGCGGTGAAGGAGTCATGGTCAAGAGAAAAAAATAAACCAAAGTATGTGAGAGAAAAATATAGACCTACCGATTATTTAAGCGAGACGAGAGACAAGAAACACTACGATTTGTGCGCTCTAACCGTAAATGTGTATCATGACGTGACGATGGTTATTCATCAAAGTAATTATAACAACGACATGTAACGTGTTAGTATAAATGTGTACTTTCTTTATAGAAATAACAGACGCGGAGCAAGATGATTATTCTCAATGCATTTTGACAAAGATGGAAGATAGATGTGCAGTGTGCAGCTGGTAAAAGACATATGAGTATATGTCCTATATGAATTCAGATGGGAGAGGAGATTGCAAACAAATATTGTATCATAGGTCTGTGAATTTTAAAACGCACTTACACCTTTCAGATATAACTATAACCGTGGTCTTTGACATCGCACTGCTGACCTACTTACGGCATAATAAGCAAGTGACCTTCCAGCCTAACGGTCGTTTTGTCTCTCGTCTCGTCGCTTGTCATTTTGTTAAACAGTACTATGTTATACTGGTCAAAGTACGATGTTCAAAGTTTTATGCTTCATTGAAATCAGACCGCCAATTAAAATAGCGATCTCTTGTACGTTGCTCAAGCTGAAATGAGCAAAGTTGCTCAGCGCCGTAAGAGACAATATCGTCGAGTTTGGCAAAAAAAGTTACGGTTGGTCTTAAGTCTTGGTCGTAAATCAATAACAAATTACCCAGAATAATAAATTGATGAAAATCACCTAGAAGATATGAATAGCCATGTTATACATGTAAAAAATTCATGAGACGGCTGAGTGAGTTATCGTTCTTGTGATCCTTAGGTAACACTTCGTTATATATAGAAACTATTGTGGTACAATTATATCACTATTTATTTTATCATGAACGTTTCAAGGTCATACTCAATACGCGAAGTGAATGCATGGTTGTATTTACTGAATAGATTGGCCTACATGTAATATAGTTACAAAGTATACTGATAATTTTTGAAAGACGAGAAAACCGGATGTGTTATGCTAATGACTTAAATATCGTTTTATACTGCTGTTTTTTTTATCAGCAGACTAAGCATGATTTTATCTGCATGATCACATGATCACGAAAAACGAGAAAGGAACAAAAAGGAGAAATATATTAATGGACTAAACAATAAAAGGTGGATGCATTATACATTCAAGAACGACGGTTAGGAATTGAAAGGATTTCCAACGTTAACACTAAACGACTTGCAAAAATTAACTGCTGACGTCTAAATGTCTTAAATACGTATGTATATATATAGCAATCTTACATAATGAGTGAAGGCTGTTTGTAACTCGGTCGTGCAGCACATAAGCTTGAATATAGGCGTTGAGGAATATGAACAGAGTGTACACGTATGATCAATGAATAAAATTTAACTATAAAACTGTTCTGATTTATGAATATGAATTTTGTAATATAAACAGTTAATATGTAGAATTTTCCTATAAAATCTTTCTACTTGAACAAATTTGATGTAAGTAATTTGATGTAAGTAATACATACAGTTTGAGAAAAACTTCACCGTAAACTGTTCTAGTTGTATAAATATGAACAAAGTAATATAGATTGTACTAAAAATGAGTAAAACTTAACTGTAAATTGTTCTACTTGTATAAAAATGAACAAAGAAATATATACAGTTTGTACTTATAATCCATAACTTGCCACTTAACAAGCCTGTGCATCCATCTGTTAAAATACAGATTCCCTTTTCTTCTCTTATGACCTCAAGTGAAAGAAACATGAGTCATGAACGATGCATACAATAACCTTATGTTACCGTCGCTGCTTTGGGGTGATTGACAGCGAGTCAGACGTTTACGGTGAGGAGTGTGTGTTCTAAATCTTTATGAGAGATAACTAAACAAATAAAGAAACTATCGTGGTTCTTTAGATATATACTTGCAGATATAGTTTCCCTATTTAACCATATCATGATACAACGAAACTTATCAATGCCTTATTCTTTGCCATTTGTCGACAAGAGTCCAGCTATTCTGCAGGCGGAGTTGTATGATTTCCAGTGGGGCTAGATTTGGTGAAATTCACAAGCGGAACCGATAGAGTTATTTTGATTTCCCACGCGATGGAAGAAATAGGAAAGATCGTCTTTGGAAATATATCATTTCCTTGTCAACATGATAATGTATTTGGGAACATAATTAAATTGGATTGATCAAGATTTACATGCCATATCAGTGGCGTAGCAAAACATTTTTAAGAGTGTATGCTTTCAAGAGAGGATCCAAGGGCGAAGCCCCGGTTAAGGGGGTCTAGGGGCGCAGTAAGGTTAAAAAAGTAGGGCAAATATATCTCAATGGAATTCGAGTGTATGTTTAAGCATACAAGCATACATTATTGCTACGCCTCTGCATATGCTTTCCCGGAACACCTGGTCTTATCGTAAATTTACTTATTTCAATTTTTCCTTTAGTTAACATTTTGCCCTTGTGCTTTCTACATCTCGTCGATAAAGGAGACACAATACACTTACTCCATCGGAACACCTGGTCTTACTCTCTTTTTTTCACTTTTTCGAGAGTCTCTGTGTAAATCTTACTTTTGTCAATGTTTAGCCCATGTATTGTGAGTTTGAATCTTTTTGTTTTTGTCGCGAGTCTGAATTTCACGTTAACATTCGATTGGAATAGATATAGAAGTGGAATATGAAATGATATGAAATGCTTTGCTAGGCTATTGCTTGACAATTTACACAATTATCGTTTGAGTGCCGTCCGCTTCACTCACTCACTTTATATAGGGCAGGAGTTATGACGTTCATCGATTCCCAGACCGATATAAAAATGGCAATAGAGCGTCAGAATAATTTAGACAACAGGAGACAGAGATGCGTTGTTCCCGGTTCCAAAATGATGACCTGTTTAGTTGTTGCAGACCAGAGTACCATGTCTGATCTCTGGTTTATGGTGGTAGTTTCCTCTGAGAATTTCGTTCTGCCGATCAGTTCTGCCTTCATTTGCTAGCTAGTCTGTCGCTGTTGCTATGCTCCCTGTTCCCTCGACTCTTCCCTTTCTGATTTCACCTGATCTAATCAAATTACCAACTTTGGGTCCTTTTGTCACATTTCCTGGTTTCTTCCTATACACTTCCATTGTTGCTGAAAATATTGACCTTTGACATCTGAACATGAAGAGCAATTGAGAGCTAATCCTTCTTATGGAAAATGATCGAGAAAGTCTGAGTATTATCAACCAAACACAACATTTACAGAAGTGTATAGTAACAGTTACCCTAATATCACTCATACGCAAGCACGTCGTTCAAATAAGCATTGTCTGAAGTAAGAGTCAACAGGCAAAGGAGAAGTTGTGAATAAAACAGAGAGAGGGACGAACAAATACACTATCGAAGGAAAATCTTATCATTATAGGAAATCCCCCATCCACGGTGGCTGATAATTAATGTCAGAATAAGGTGGAATTTGGGACTAAACTTATCTGTACTCAGTGAAAATATCTTTAAAATTAAAATGATAAGCATACGTTGGATGTTGTAAAAATGTTATCGCTTATAATCTGAATTTGAAAACTCATTATCTGGAACAAGATGAACACTTAATATGGAGGATGTTAGGTATGTATGTTCTAAATGTTGTATGTAGTATGTCGTGATGTGCAATATTCAAACTCTAAATGTTGTTTGTCTTACATGTATGTCAAGCTGCGCAACATTCGAATTCTGAATGTTATTTGTTGTGAAGTGCCACATTCAAACCTCAAAATGTTCCAGTTCTGAATATCGAATGTTGTACACGTATGTTGTAGTACAAACTATTCAAACTCTGAATGTTGAGTATTGTACGCGTATGTCGTGGTACGCAACATTCAAATATTAAGAATGCGTCGCATTTCCTGGTGGGCAACATTCGAATTCTGAATGTTGCATATCGTACGGATAGAAGGTACAGGATAGAGAGATGAGGGTAGATGGTACATGGTTTAGGGCTGGGGGTAGCGGGTAAAGCGTTCGAATTCTGAATGTTAAATGTCGTACGGATAGAAGGTACAGGGTAGAGAGATGGGGGTAGATGGTACATTAGGGCAGGGAATAACGGGTAGAGGGTGAAGCGTTAAGGGTTAAGGTCAGAGGATAGGGGAAAGGGAAGAGGGTAGGGGTAGAGGGTGGCCGTTAGAGGGAATAGGGTAGGAGTAGAGGTTAGAGGGTACGGTGTAGGTGGAAGAGGGCATAGGGTAGGGTAGAGGGTAGATGGTAGGGTTAAAGGGAAGGGGAAAGAGGGTGTGGGGTAGGGATCACAACAGGGCGCCATGGCCTGGAAACGGTTCTTTGCAATATCTGCTTTATATTTATGAATGTTCTTATTTAGTTTTTACCAAAAAAGAAATACCTTGGTGTTTTGGTGGACGTTTTGATAACAATCATTTTCTTTGGCGACTTGATGGTGTAGAACAAAACAAAATATAACAAACAAACACGAACATCTTGGAATACCAATATCTAACAACATGGCATGTCCGATATAGATAGAAACAGACACGCATGCTTTTCTCTATTTTGACATCGGAGCAAATGTTTTGTCTTGTGTCTGTATTTCAGATGATCATTCGATTGGAATAGAAATCGAAGAAGAATATGAAACGATAAGAAATAACATCAGAAAGAACCTATTGCTTAATACCATACTAATGTCTGTAACAGGCAGTGTGTAGCCAGACGTATGATAGTAATAACTGAGTCATTAAAATGTCTGTCGGAAATCTGAATATCACTTCATTTGGTAGAATCACTAACCACGACACACTGGAAACAATAACACATCTCGAAATTTTACCTATTTACGTTATCTTTCATCTTTACAGTCTTTTACGATAAGTTTTGACATAGAACATTGAGGAAGACTTTTATAGCTTTTTTGCTGTGAATACAATGGGTGAGAGGTCCAGTTATAGGACATATCTAGCTACCGTTTTTTAAAGAAAATATATTTATATAGATATGAACTAGATAGCAAATATAGCTTGAAAAAACTACAATGGGCTTTTTATATTTATGTTGGTCGACATTGTACAGGGAGTCCCATATATTCCAATTAGCTACCGTGGTACGACCAATCTGATGTTCGCCTCGAACTGATAAAAGTGACAGCTAAATATTCCCATTACTGTAGAACATGGTTCGCCCCTGACTAGATTTTTTTTTCATTGGTCGGCGTGTTTTCCTTATAAAGACAGCTTAGCATTCATGACACATTGTCACACACGTGATAGTTAACGTGTACGCGGGTACATATTAACGCATTAAATCGAGGAGTCATGTGATGTACACAATAGAATCATCGGCCTTGACTCGGAGTGTAACGCTGCACATGACCAGAACAACAGTGTCGATTTCTGTCTGATCAGCACGCTTGACACACACAAAGCCAACATAAATTTTATATTTATGGCAGGTATTATCAAAATGATAGTCCAACAGACTTGAACATCCGTCTCAACTGTTTACTTTGTTCGCACGTTACTCAACTCTTAGATGTTGTCCTTAAGTTTATGAAAACCAGCTAACCGAGCGCAAATAACGTTTAACCACTGTGCTTAAAAGTTCAGACATAAAATGTGGTAGAAAAATCGTTGCAATTTATTGTCTTCGCACAATAAATGTTTTGTTTGAACAGCTTCCTAACTGATTAATTTTTGATATAACGTGTTTGATTAGGATTAACAATGACGAATGAATCGGTCTCCTTTCCTTTCGGGAAATGTCGTATATGCACAGGAAAGGCGATGGGAGTTCACTACGGTACTGCTACATGTGAGGGATGTAAGGTAAGATTAAACAATACTATGTAAATCCCCTTTGATCTCAAATTCTAGTGTACAGTTGTTGGTATCATCGTTTGAAAACAATTGGTGAGCTGTTTTGTTTTTTTTTTAATCAAGGAAGTTTGGTCACATGAAGTCGGTCTCCACAGATAACCGGATCATTCAAGGACGGGTTTTTAAGTGTTACATTACTTAAATAGCGGAACACGGTAGCATTACCTTGTCACATTATGCTTTCATCAGAGATTCGAACCTCTAACGTCTGAACGAAAAGAGTGTGTGCTTTAAATTTAACCTACTGAAATCTATAAAACAACATCGTGATTATACTTGTCTTTGACCCAAGTTACCTTAAGACGTGGTTTTGTGATTTATTTACAGAGGGAGTGTAATCCATTTACAAAGGGAGTGTTATCTATTTCCAGGCGGAGTGTAATCTATTTACATAGGGAGTTTAATCTATTTCAAGGCGGAGTGTTATCTATTTACATAGGGAATGCAATCTATTTACAAAGCAAGTATAATCTATTTACAGAATGGGTCTAATCCATTTACAGAGAGAGTGTAATCTATTTCCGGAGGGTGTAATTTAGTTACAGAGAGAGTGTTATCTATTTCCGGAGGGTGTAATTTAGTTACAGAGAGAGTGTTATCTTTTAACAAAGGGAGTAAATCTATTTCCAGTATAATCAACTTACAGAGGGGGTGTAATCTATTTCCAAATGAATTCAACCCATATACAGAGGGAGTGTGATCTATTTCCATAGGGAATTTAACCTATTTACAGAGGGAGTGTGATCATTCCATAAGGAATTTAACCTATTTACAGAGGGAGTGTGATCATTCCATAAGGAATTTAACCTATTTACAGAGGGAGTGTGATCTATTTCCATAGGGAATTTAACCTATTTACAGAGGGAGTGTGATCTATTTCCATAAGGAATTTAACCTATTTACAGAGGGAGTGTGATCTATTTCCATAGGGAATTTAACCTATTGACAGAGGGAGTGTGGTCTATTTCCATAGGGAATTTAACCTATTGACAGAGGGAGTGTGGTCTATTTCCATAGGGAATTTAACCTATTTACAGAGGGAGTGTGATCTATTTCCATAGGGAATTTAACCTATTTACAAAAGAGTGTGATCATTCCATAAGGAATTTAACCTATTTACAGAGGGAGTGTGATCATTCCATAAGGAATTTAACCTATTTACTATTTCCATACAGAGGAGTGTGATCTATTTCCATAGGGAATTTAACCTATTTACAGAGGGAGTGTGATCTATTTCCATAGGGAATTTAACCTATTTACAAAGGAGTGTGATCATTCCATAGGGAATTTAACCTATTTACAGAGGGAGTGTGATCTATTTCCATAGGGAATTTAACCTATTTACAGAGGGAGTGTGATCTATTTCCATAGGGAATTTAACCTATTTACAGAGGGAGTGTGATCATTCCATAAGGAATTTAACCTATTTACAGAGGGAGTGTGATCATTCCATAAGGAATTTAACCTATTTACAGAGGGAGTGTGATCATTCCATAAGGAATTTAACCTATTTACAGAGGGAGTGCGATCTATTTCCATAGGGAATTTAACCTATTTACAGAGGGAGTGTGATATATTTCCATAGGGAATTTAACCTATTTACAGAGGGAGTGTGATCTATTTCCATAGGGAATTCAACCCATACACAGAGGGAGTGTGATCTATTTCCATAGGGAATTTAACCTATTTACAAAGGAGTGTGATCATTCCATAGGGAATTTAACCTATTTACAGAGGGAGTGTGATCTATTTCCATAGGGAATTTAACCTATTTACAGAGGGAGTGTGATCTATTTCCATAGGGAATTTAACCTATTTACAGAGGGAGTGTGATCTATTTCCATAGGGAATTTAACCTATTTACAGAGGGAGTGTGATCATTCCATAGGGAATTTAACCTATTTACAGAGGGAGTGTGATCTATTTCCATAGGGAATTTAACCTATTTACAGAGGGAGTGTGATCATTCCATAGGGAATTTAACCTATTTACAGAGGGAGTGTGATCTATTTCCATAGGGAATTTAACCTATTTACAGAGGGAGTGTGATCATTCCATAGGGAATTTAACCTATTTACAGAGGGAGTGTGATCTATTTCCATAGGGAATTTAACCTATTTACAGAGGGAGTGTGATCTATTTCCATAGGGAATTTAACATATTTACAGAGGGAGTGTGATCTGTTTCCATTTTAACCATTTACAGGGAATTTTTCCAACCTATTTACAGAGGGAGTGTGATACAGAGGGAGTGTGATCATTCCATAGGGAATTTAACCTATTTACAGAGGGAGTTCCATAGGGAATTTAACCTATTTACAGAGGGAGTGTGATCATTCCATAGGGAATTTAGCCTATTTACAGAGGGAGTGTGATCTATTTCCATAGGGAATTTAACCTTTTTACAGATGGAGTGTAATCTTTTTCCCGAGGGGGGATATTATATTTTTAATATAGCCTTACTAATATGTGTTACCGCTTATTGGATGGTTTGACTTTCACGCTTTTGACAGTGACTTACAATCGGATCGTTTCTGAAGGTTAAATAAAATAGTGTAATATAATTACGTTTTGTTTGTATGACCTTGTTCAGTGTGTATTTGATTGACAATCATGATTTTGGTATCTTATTTATACAAGGCGTTCTTCAAACGTTGGATGAACAGAGACAAGACGCTGGCTTGCTTTTTTGGCGGGAACTGTATTATCACGCCGGATACTCGTCACTGTTGTAAAGGGTGTCGATTTCGGAAATGCAAAGAGAATGGAATGTCCATAGAAGGTATATTTCTTGTTCACAACTTTACTGTTAATTGATATAATGTCAAAAAAAATATCAGTACAATACTTTGCATTATTGTTTTGAAATATTAAGAGGGCAATCATTAATTCTTTCTTACGTTGGTTGTACTTCATTGTAGCAATAAAGATGGGAAGAATTCCGAAAGTAGAGAAAAAAGCTGCAATTGAAGAATTACAAAGATCACGGACAGAAACAAGAATATCTTCATTAGTTAAACAGAACAGAGCAAGAAAGAAAGATGAGAAAACACGTGAATCCACTGTCAACCAAACACAGTTTCAAGACATCAATCACTCATCGAGAGAAATTCTAGATCGAGGAGAAAATGAAGAACACGTTCTAACAAACCTCAACGAGACGACGGGAAATCTGCAATGGTCACCTACGGAGCAGGTGTTCAGTGATGGTCAGTTCTTCCCTTCTATCGTACAAAATAAGTCCACATCATTACCCAATGACACAAATGCCATTTCTTCAGACGGCACTGTAACAGAATCCCAAACCGAGGCACCAATTTCATATGAAGCGAGTACATCATTTCTTGGCCATGAGACTGTTTTAATGGATCAAAGCCTAGTTTCTGATCAGATAACTCCAAATTGTTCAATCCAGTCGGACTTAACTCAGATTGTGTTGCATTCCGTCCAACCGATACACGAGAGCGGGCCTTCGGCAATAAAAGCGACAATATTACCATTAGAGGATTCGTCGCATTATCCAACTTCTCAAAACTATTTTAATACACACCAAACTTCATCCGAAATACTATCAATGACAAATCTGGATCACCAAGACTGTACCAGCAATAATGATGTAAGTTGTGAAACATTAGCAGTAGGCGACTTTCCAAATATGCCTAGTTCAGTATCAGATCACCAAAGCCAATATGTCGATAAAACTAGAATGAATTCCATGCTACCAAGTGCAAAGATAGATGGAACTAATCCTTGTATTGATGATATGACACCAGCGCAGGATTCTTGCGATGATGTGCAAACTGGAGTGTCGGTACTAGAAATATCTGAACCAGATTCTAATAGTGCTTACCTTCGCAATTACGTACGGTTGTTAACTAACTTATCAGAACACGAAACGTTAACGAATGAACTCGAAAACCAATTCAATACCCAGGATGATATTCAGTGTGAGACACAATCGGATGGTCCCACGTCAATAGATACTTCGTTGTCGGTCAGTGAGATACATGTTGCCAGTTCTGGAGGACCTGATGCCGTTCAAAGCAATATAGTGTTTCATGACAATACACAGATGCAGACACTTTATATTCCTTTTTTTCGGCAAACTAGCATTGACAATGATAGTGAGAGTAATGTTGTAACTATGGAAAGTGAAGTGAAGAAAATCAATCAGCCGTTAGTGCAAAGTGATTCGAGAAACATGGCTGATACTCAACCTAGAGACGACACAGTCTGCATTCAGCAGGGCAACAGTCTGCCTGCTACAGATTCTCAACCGCTAGACCAAGAAAGTAGCAATATTACATCTCCAAACATAAATCAATGTAAACAACTAACAAATAGTCAGCAAAGAAGCGTGTTAAATCCAATCCGTATGAAAAACCTGGCATCAGCTATTTTTAGAAATTTGTATGGCGATCTAGATCCGTCACATCAAGGAGCACAAACTATTATGACAGATGCCTTTCACGACTATTCCTCAAATTGCAACTCTATCGGCAATGAACAAGACACCAGAGACAACGCACGTACAGCGAATGACAACGACCTGGCCAAAGTCGACACGGTAAATGATATTACGGATGACATGAGGAAAACCTTGAAGGTGTTTCACAGATCTGTTGATAAGCTGTACATACCAGTGTTTCTGAAGAGACGCCTCACCAAGAAACACAAGTATGACAAAGTAAGTAATATTTTCACTATTTATTTTACTTTTCGTATCATACCATGAAACATGAAAACATGTGATAAAAATGTCTCTTAAATTTGTTTCCATTTCGTATGAAAGATTATGAAACTTGCCTTGGCTCGCAGAATTGAATTATTAACACTCCTTTCATAAAATCTCATATGAAATGGAAACTCATTTAAGATTCTATATCTTTTACGTCTAATGACACGGTATAGCCAAGAATGAAAAAACTTAATGCCAGATACATTTAATTACATACATTTAAACTTCCATGCGTTTTCATTTTATCGGATATTTACGACAAGGCCTCAAGAATCATTTTAGCTAGACCCCGGCGAGTTAAAATGAAAAATCTTTAATGGGTTTCATAATTCAAATGTGTATAATAAGGAATTTTAGATTATATTATTCATTTCTGCAATAAACATGCTTTTATGTGTTATTCTCAAAACTACATATATTAATGAAATAAAAACTTTGCTTTCCATAAGTCTTAGAACTTAGATAACTTATTGCTGTCGCCATCTTACTGTATGCAAATAAATCAATGTACCTTATAATGCCACGTAACACGCTGACGAAGTTAATATAGAAATATATGTACTTTTACAGATAATGTCGAACTCCATAACAAATTTCGGTATATGACGCAGAATGACAGTGCATGTTTAATTAATGTCCTACATTTTGTACAAAAATTGATCACACCTGGTAGAAAGTTACCAATAAAACTATATATTATATCATCTGTGTAAACAATAAATATTACATATAGGAGTTACATAATCACCTTGAACCTGTCATGTGCTGTCTTATAACCTTTCTTAAAACATGGTTATGATGTCATTCATTGGTGGGGTTTTGTAATATAATCGAGCATGTTACCTGTAACTGTTGTATATGTTACCAATAACTATAATATATGTTACATATAACTGTTACATGGTACATGTAACTGTTCTTTATTTTGCCTGTAAATGTTCTATATGTTACCTGTAACTTTTCTATATGCTACCTGTCACTTTTCTATATGTTACCTGTAACTGTCCTATATGTTACCTGTAACTTCTCTATATGTTATCTGTAATTGTTACATATGTTCCCTGTAACTACTCAATATGCTACCTGAAATTGTTCTATGTTACCTGTGGCTGTTGTATATGTTTCCAGTAACTGCTATATTTGTTACTTGTGGCTGTTCTCTATGTTATCTGTAAATGTTATATAGGTTACCTGTAACTGTTTTATGTTACCTGTAAATTTTCTATATGTTACATATCATTTTGCTATATGTTACCTGTAACTGTTGTATATGTTACCTGTAACTGTAACATATGTTATTTGTAACTGTTACATGTGTTTCATGTAACTGTGCTATATGTTACCTGTAACTACTCAATATGATTCCAGTAACTGCTATATATGTTACCTGTGGCTGTTCTATATGTTACCTGTAACTGTTACATATGTTACATGTAATTTTTCTATATTTTAAAAGTAGATATTCTATATGTTATCTGTAATTGTAACATATGTTATCTGTAACTTCTCTATACCTTATATGCAACTTCTCTATATGTTACCTGTAACTGTTACATATGTTACCTGTGGTTTTTCTATATTTTAAAAGTAGATATTCGATATGTTATCTGTAATTGTAACATATGTTACCAGTAACTTCTCTATATGTCATATGTAACTGTTCTATATGTTACCTGTAACTAACGGTTGTATATGTTACCTGTAACTTCTCAATATGTGACCTGTGACTGTTGTATATGTTACCTGTAACTGTTTTATATGTTATCTGTAACTGTTCGATATGTTACTTGTAACTGTCTTAAAAGTGACTCACTTATTGGACAGTCATATATAAGATAGCGAAATGTGCCTTAGGAACAATGCAAAACAAACATGATAATATAAAGTCCTATTTCAAAATAGAAGGTTTAATAAACATGACTTGGTAAAAAAAAAAACATAAAAAATATGAAACTACTGAACAAGTTAAATCCAATTCATTCCATGACTGGAAAAATGTGTAGTGTGCTACCGAATACAAAATGCACGAGGAAAATCATTATTTCCAAGAAAGGAACATACTCCCAGTATTCTTGTTGAGCTCTCTAGTGTCTGTAGTAGGAATTGTTCATCTTTTTCATAAAACGCTTCAACGATTTGGAAAGGATGGGTCTACTTCTTGATGATAATAAAAAAACACTCTGGTTCGTTAAACATTTCACACACTTTTACAAATCCATGCATGGGTAGTGAAAGAGACATTTCCCATCAAAAATAGTACTAATCTAAATTCTATCACATGCGTATATAGCCCAATGGCAGAAACTGTTGTTTATATGAATATAACATCATGTTCTATAGTTAATTTTCCTTTTCGCAACTCTACATAATGAGCCTACTTCCCTTCTTTAAAAGAAACTGTACAGGTTTTATATGCTATAACTAAGGAGGTATATAAGAAATCGCCAAATAAATCTTAACTTTATTTAACCCCAGTTTATTTGATATGGTTATGGATAGAGATCACTTTTCAAATGCGTTCGCTAAACAAATTTCAGCTCATAAAATATTATGTATGTCCACCATTGAAATCGATGCATGTTTGACAACGACGGCTCATTGATGTGACGAGTGTGCTGGAAAAAAAATGTCATTCCACATTCCCACAAGCGCACGTGACAGGTTAATAACGTCAACGGCTGATTTTGGAGGCGACATAAGCGACGCTGCATCTTATCCCACACGTGTTATGTAGGCGACAGATCCGGTGATATGGCAGGCCAGAACAGTACATTCACATTGTTCTGGATCAAGAAGTCGGTGACGGCCTGCGCGACGTGCGGGCGAGCGTTATCCTGTTGCAGCGTGGCGTTACGTTGCTGCACAAATGGAATGACGTGAGGCCGGATGGTTTCGTCATGGTATCTGATGCCTGTAAGTGAGCCGTTCATAACCACAAGAGCCGTTCTGCCACGGAATGAGATGCCACACCATGACTCCGCCGAATGAACGCCGTTGTATCACACAAATGCCATGGAAACGTTCACCAACACGACGGTAGACTCTAGAACGACCGTCGCTGCTGTCGAGATGTTTCAACCCCTTTGAAGGAAGTTTTTCGCAGACAATAGAAGAAAATGAAAAAAAGAATCCATAAAGAGACCAATTTGAATTGAAAATATCCTTTGAAGTCCTAGAATGACGAGATAGAACAATGTATTTATCGGCTGCTACAATCTTGTAAGAAACATCGATAACCATCGTGTAGTGTTCTATAAGGTTGTAAACATGACAAATGATTTACGGGTTTTACGTATCTTAACTTCTAATTACGAATATCAATATGACCAGTACGTGTTCCTAATTGATTTATATATGAACATGCTGTTTTTAATTGTTTTTTCTTTCATTTTACTTTTAGAAAAGTAGGAAGATTGCATCAAGATCAAAAGAAGGGGTCGGGTTTTTCTTGTCGAACCTTTTTATGGAAATAAAAGCGGAAAATGAAAGGATAAGAGGTAAGATATATTTTAATTAGTGACATTTTTTACATGGCTTGATTCTCGAGTATAATTTAAAATCACAAACATGCATTAAACTATATCCCCGTAACAGTTTAGAAGAGTATTCACTTAAGATAGGGAGAAATCAAATCAAGATATGGTTATACAATGGACGATGACCAGCACACTATTATGGTTCTATCTATGATAAATAAAATGGGAAAGTTTCATGGTCCCATTTAAAAATATTCTATTTCTTTGTGAAAAAAACGTGTTTGGTGCTCGTGAAAATTGACCTCCATTGTCGTTAGCTTTGTTTTAATTTGGTTATATAACATCTTCTGATTTACTATGATTTCCGTGGTGAGTGTAGTCACTGAGGTAGAAAACGTTTACCTTCCGAACATGCCTGATTTTATTATTATTTTTATTATTATTATTATTGTATTTTTCAGGTTTCTACTGTATCTCTTTCTTCTGGTCTTATTTTGCCATAGTTTCATTTCTTAATTTCCGAAGTTTTGATTTAATATTCATACTCATTGTCTCTATTGATTTTTCATAGTCCTACTTTCCATTAAAAATTCAGAACCCGACTTAAAAGATTTAGGTGTGGAAACTTAAACACACTAGATACTAAAGCGAACATACAGAGCTCATACGTGTTATATCAAATTGTTGTGGTTTGTATAAAGAAATATTGTCGGTTCAGCCGGGAAAATGTGCAAATAGGGTTTTATTTATGTCATACAACCACGCAAACATGGATCAAATGATAAAATATCTAAGCAATATGCATGAGTAGATAACATGATAGACATGTTCTGGAGATCGTAACGTAGATGAATTCAGTGAAGGAGTGGCCTTCGTGACTTTATCGAAAAATATCCCAAATATATATCAACGGCAACAGAACATCGTGAGAAAATAAAACAATATAATATGCTCAGATCAAGTATATTCAATTCAGAACAAATACAAATGCAAGTTTAAATTATGCCTAAGAAGTAATTTGTGAATTTCCTACTTTTGTAACGACGACAGCCTGTATAACACTTTAATAGACAACAACATAATTGTTAAAGGACTGACATCCCTAAACAGTGCCTGCTTTTGCTACAATATGGTAGAAATGATATGTAAATTGAATAGAAAATTGTAAAATGTAGACGTTTAGATGTAGTTGTGACCATTTCATAACAGCAACGAGAAACGCTTACTTTATGTGCATACTTTAAAAGAACTTTCAGAAACATATAAAGGGGTATAGCGCTGTCAGATCTAACCTTTCAGAGAAAAACAAAAGTATCAGCAAAAAAGTCTGTCCGCTGAAATATATACAACACAGCTGTTTTGTACAGGTTCGTGCCTCTTAGATTAGATATTTGTAACTCAAAACGCCGATGAATAAAAAATCTGTGTTGAACATTTCGATCAGCTTATAGAATATCTGTTGTAGTAAGTGGTATTATTTACATGGATTTGACAAATACACTGATTTCTCCGACGTCAGATATTTTGGCGCATTCTTTTGTACTGTATATTGTAGGGACATTGTTAATGTTGCATAATATTCTTTTTCATGATAACGTGACGACGGCAGTTTGATTGGCATTAGGATTACCTCCCAGAAGTACGTTAAATCACAAACCTCATGATTTTATCTGGATTCAGCTCATGGTCGCATGATCAAGTCATAAAAATCGTGTTTATCTCTAGCATGTGATATGAATCCTAAAATGAAGAATGTACCTTTTACTTTTTATTTGGTATTTGCGTCGAGAGACCAACGAATTCCTGTAATTTTACATACACTGTACGTTGGCGGTGTAGATCTGCACGCGTATCAATGGGAAAAGCATTTCAGGCGTATCAGTAACATTGTCTTACAAGCGTGTCGGCGGTCATAAACTAATAATCGTATCGAAAATCGTAGTTCTGCAAGCGTATCGGTGGACATTATGATGCAAATCACTAGGCGTACAAATGTAGCCCTAAAAGCGTATTAGTGACATAGTTTGTCTTACCAACGTCCTGACGGGCATACATCTACATGTGTATCGTAGGGCGTACCATTACAAGCGTATCAATGACGTAGTCGTGCGTGGGTATAGACAGACTTATATTCGGCAAGCGTATCGGTGATATGTATGCTACAAGTATATTATTGGGTGTTGTCAGTCTTTACTTTTACTTTTGGCAGTTTATCACTATGAGTGGGTAGGCGGGGGTAGACCGAAAACTGTAAGTTCGAATACAATTTTGTAGTCCTTAAAGTATACAGGATATACAGTGTATCGATGGCGTATTTTTTCACGCGCATTGTTGCATGTAGTCATACACGTGTACAGAACGTATGGACGGTGCTAGACCGACAAACGTATCAGCGAGCACAATCCTAGAAGTGTATCAGTGACGTAATCCTAGTGTAAAGGATAAGGTTCCGATGCGCTGCTGAAAGCTCTAATACAAAATAACAGATAACCCGCTTTTGTTTTTTTGTTTTTAAGCACTAACCCGTCTTTTTGCGTGCATCCTTCACATTGAACTACTATGTGTCAAACAATTAAGTATACATGGTGACTTCAAGAAAAAACAAAAATTTTTTAGTAATTTTCTTTCAATGACATCATTACATAAAGTGGTTTTACATTTTCAGGGTTTGCACTAGAAATGCCCGGATTTGCCAACATACACACTGATGATCAGATGCTGCTTCTGAAGAGGGCGTTTATTGAAATACATTTGGTGTGTACGAAAGCTAGATCAGTCTTTACTACTAGACTGGTATTTCTTCACGTGGACAAGCTTTTCTGAATATTTCTTTTAAAATCTAATATCGCAAAGTGAACGCATTGGCTATATGCATATAGACACTTAAATTCAGATACGGTATGCTGTTTTTCATTGAAGTAAAGATAAATTTCTACGTTAACCATCACAAAATTTGTGAGTATATGAAAAATATCTTTGAAACTAGCACGATCATTAATAGATTTTGATTTAACAGTCCCCCATTACATATAAGAATCATCACTCTGTAATGCCTTTTATCAGCTGATGCTAAAACGATAATTAATTATGCTGATTTTTATCGTTTCTTTATCTACGAACAGCTTACTACATCAGATATCCAGTTGAAGGACGAATCGTTTTACATCGCAGACAATGCCCTCGTTTTGAATCAGAGCGCTCTGAACACGTTTGTGGACGATCGCATGGTGGATCAGATCAACAGCGTGTCTGAATTGATTGAGCGGTTCGAATTGTCTCACCTCGAAATAGGACTGTTATGCGCTATCCTACTGACATCTCTCGGTGAGCTGAAGTTGTGTTTTTCCATCACCTAACAACCACCATGACACACAGTCATACTATCTTTCATAAGTCTTCATTAATACTATTATCTGTCTGAACGATCTCCGACCACCTCTGGTTATACCATATCCACCCTCTACTTATTCAGTCACCAAAATACTGTTATCTGTTTGCACTATATCCGGTTAGTTCTTATTTAATCACTAAACACAGTTATCTCGTTGTACCATATCCAGCAATTATTTATTTAATCACCAAAACACTGTCCTCTGGTTGTACCATATCCAGCCACTACTTATAAAATCACAAAAACACTGTTGTCCGATTGTGACCTATTTAGTCTTGCACTTACAAACTTACCAAATTTCTGTGAAGGCCTTCCTTTTCCTTCATCTCATTACTACTTGTATCAGTGTTCAGTTGTCCTATTCCGGTACAATCAAATGATTGTTCGGTTCAATTTGAACACGTACATTGTTATCAAACGGTCAGCTGATCAATTAAAAGTTGTTGTTATCGCCAGAATAAGACATTATTATTTGCAAAGTATTTAATATTTTTGCTTATGTCACTGGTGTTATATACCCTGGAACATTTTTCATTGGCTGATCCAGTCAAAATCAATTGTGAATTCATAATATGGACACTGACATTACGTTATGATTTGAATTTGGCGTAAAAAAACTGTCTGGCTCCGTTTGATTTTGTCCTATACATTTTAACATTAAAACGTGTCAAAATTTAACTCGTTATGTAATCAAAAGGACTCTTGAATTTGTTATCGTTTCTTATGAGATTCATGAAATCGGTCTTAAGGTTTTAATAGTTGTTTATCAAGGCACGCGCGAAAAAAAAAAAAACAAAACAAAATAAAAACAAAAAATAGTATACACTTTTCAAAAAATTTCATATGAAATTAAAGATAATTTATATCCTATTCATATGCTAGTTTTATGCCTGGGTTTGATTCCTGCATTTGTTGTTTTTTTTTTCATTAGATGGAGTGACAGCCGAGGATTCCAATTCCGTAGAGGCTCTTCACTCGCACTATCTCGACGTCTTCAGTTACATGGTGTACTCCAGCAACAGAAACAATAAGGCTAGACTGGTGGTCGAGATATTCTTCAACCTTATCCCAGTCCTCAAAGACCTCAGTAGAAATATTAGCCAATTCATGGAGTCGGTTTTCCTTGAAAAGAACGCTGAATTATTATTCCAGAACCTACTGTAGAACAGTTGCATTTACGTCATCACAGATGTTTCTTTCTGTCATATCTGCAATGGGATATTCTTCTTCAAAACATTATGTTGCGATATTAACATGACGATGTTGAAATAACTGAAAATCGATATACACTTTGGTGTATAAGAGGATATACAAACGTAATGTAATTATGATAAGCAAGCCATACAAGAAATGATCAGAATACAATCGTCGAATACCGCATGTTCTTCTGCGGCAGCCATATACTCGTATATGTACTTACAATGACGATAACGATCTTTTCTCCCATGGTCAGTTCCCAAATGTAGATAACAGCCTCTTCCCCCTCCCGTCCCTCCCGATGCATTAAGCAAGGGACTAATTCCTAATAGTATTACAGTCTCCGTTTCGGATACCAGCAGGTGACTTCACACACAGAAAAGATAAATAAATTACCACATGGGTTTTCATAAGTGCAGTTTGACGAAGACAATGAATCACCATCATCAATAGCATGTGTTTGCATAACATGACAATCGATGTGTTCAAGTCTACGTATAAAGCCTTATTTCTATTCTTGTTTGCTAATTCAACTTAATCCAAACAAAATAAAAGCAAATCATATGTGCTTAGAGCGATTGGTATTTTGGTGCATACCTGATGATAAACAAATAAGTAAATAAGACAAAAGACACACAGGTAAACCGCTCATTTTAATATAAATTTAGAATTAGATACGATAGAGCCAGATAATGAATGTAACTGCGTCATAAAGCCGTTTTGTTTTGTTATACAATACATTAATTATAGATAAAATTTTAAGACACACAACTGCATTAGGAAATGAGGAAATGAAACTTTTTGGGGTTTGTGTACCACTTTTTTATTTAAAATTAAAGCCATCGTCACGAGCTACCTTATCTACGAATCAAGGGAGATAACTAAAACTTTCTAGAGAGTAAAAATTGGAGAATAGCTTTATCGATTTGATAAGAATAGTAAATTCATGGTGACAAATATTTTCGTTATCGGTTTCAGGTTCTATGGCCATCTTCAGGCGATGAATTCATTTAATGTCTTGGTTACCTATCTAATATATGATATACAGTTGAAAAAACTTAATGTCACGTCGGTTAATATCACTTTTTCTTTTCATTTACATATTATATGTAATCCAAGATATGATAATCTGATAGTTTCATAAGTCATGACCTAGTCGGACTTGGAGCGTTAAAAGGAAAATTTATTTCGTCAGATAGTATAACCGACGATGTTTTACACAACTCTATAACACAGTTGTATAACCGCGGCAGTACTATATAGAGAACCAAGATACTTTCGGTTATAAACACTAAGCTCAACAGAGCATGTCGCTTCTTTTTAGGTGTTCGAAAATATACTTCCAATAGCTCTACCAGAGGTGACATAAGCTGACCATCGTATCCCCATAAATAGAATGTCCCGTGTGTGACACTATTGTATAAAATCAGTAGGCTCGAAGATCATCGGATGCAAAACAAAATAATGGAGTTGTCCTTTCGACAACGACGAGGTTGGAATGCTACAGTCTGTGTGACGTTATAGACACAGATAACCTAATATCCACTGTGAACCTTTCATCAAAATTTGTTGTCAGAAAACTCCTGTTGAAATTATTATTAAAAGATAGTCTTGAATGGCAAGCTCAGCTTTATGAAGACCGTGACAATGTTAACGGAAACAAGCTCTGTACATATAGACAGTTCAAGAATGAACGTTATATCCCAATGGACATACCAAGACATCACAGACGTAATCTTGTATTTTTCCAGGGGGCTTACTTCCTCAGACCTTTGTGACGGGACGATACACCAGACCGCCCGTGTGACCAGCATAAAGTGGAGGATGAAAAACATTTCCTAATAGAATGCAATTTATATGATGACATAAGAAACGATCTTTTTAAAAAACGTTTTTATGCCATTGGCGGTTTCTTTAACCTAGACACAGATAATATATTTACAATATAATGAAAAAATGGTGATCTCCAGCAAACAAATGCGAGCTTTTTTTATTTTCTTTAATAGAAGAATTTTTTTTTTAATTTTTCACAGAATGTAATTATCAATCAGTAACTGAAAGTTACATTAAGTATATGTGACAAAGGACATTTCTATTTTTTATATTTATAGAAATATCCTTTGATTTGATATATTAACATCTTAGCCATACTGTATGAAAGGAAAGTTTAATCAGAGATTGTAAGTTACACTAGTACATATATATGTGTTTGTGATGAAGGGCACTTACCATTGATATTCATGCTCTGATATATTTTAACATCTTAGCCACACTGTATGAATGGAAAGTTTAATCAGTGACTGTATGTTACGCTAGTATAAATATATATGTGTGTGTGAGTGTGTGTGTGTTTGTGATGAAGGGCACTTACCATTGAATTCCATGTATCATGCTCTGATATATTTGAACATCTTAGCCACACTGTATGAATGGAAAGCTTAATAAGTAATTCTAAGTTACACTATTATTTGTGACGAAGGGCATTTCTACATATGATATTCATAGTAATATTCTCTGGTGTGAAAGTTTAACTTCTTTGCCCCAGAGTATGAGTGGAAATGTAAATAAGTAATTGTAAATTAAAATGTGTGTGTGATTGTGTGTGTGTGTGATTGTGTGTGTGTGTGTGTGTGTGTGATTTTGTGTGTGTGTGTGTGTGTGTGTGATTGTGTGTGTGTGTGTGTGTGTGTGTGTGTGTGTGTTGTGTGTGTGTGTGTGTGTGTGTGTGTTTTGTGTGTGTGTGTGTGTTGTGTGTGTGTGTGTGTGTGTGTGTGTGTGTGTGTGTGTGTGTGTGTGTGTGTGTGTGTGTGTGTGTGTGTGTGTGTGTGTGTGTTGTGTGTGTGTGTGTGTGTGTGTGTGTGTGTGTGTGTGTGTGTGTGTGTGTGTGTTGTGTGTGTGTGTGTGTGTGTGTGTTTGTGTGTGTGTGTGTGTGTGTGTGTCTGTGTGTCTGTGTGTGTGACGAAGGGTATTTCCACCTTTGTGTCTTAGTCACAGTGTAAAAATATGTTAATATTATCGATTATGATGTTTCATGGGTCAAATAATTAAAGCTGGGTGTTGATCGCTTAAACTTGTACATTTTATAATTGTTATTTGTATTTCATCAATCCATATGTGACACTTTCATAAACTATGTTATTATTATTATCATTATTGTTATTATTATTATTATTAACAGCAACTATCAAACAAAACAAAAAGTCTTGTTAATCATGGGTAATTAAAGTAAGGTAAACAAAGAAGGATTCATGCCTCAGTGGCCACATGGACGCTTTCTGTAAACATTGTCATTACCCTACTGGACAAAATTAAATCAACCCACTTACCTGTAAGGTCCAGCTGCGTGTCTCTTGGAACCTTTCACGATGGTTAGGCCGCGTGTGAGTGGGCGCCATACCACCAAGTTTTCTAACATGCTGCCGAAACTTCCTGACATGAGTCTTTGACATGCGTACCTGGATCGATTTTAAGTAATAAAAGATCTCTTGAGAAAACGATAAAAAATTGAACCATAATTTACGATAAAATATGTTTATTTTGTTTCTTGTTAGAATGATCAAAACCGCGGCATATCGATGTCGTCATAACGAATGTCGCCATCTTCAAATATAAGTGAACACATTTCTGATACAGAACTTAAGATGCTCAAATAACTGATCTGAACTTCAAGTTTCATGAAATAAAGTATGAATTAATCTAATATAGAAAAATTATTGCACGTGCCCCGAAAAGCTTCACGGAGCCGTTTATGTGTTTGCTGAAAATGGAATCATGTTTCCAAAACGATTCTTCCATATAGCATATCGTATGGAATGAAGATTGAAAATTGTGTTCTTATTAGAACGTAGACGTTTGTATCTGTCTCCAAATCATTGATTGCTTAAATCAAAGTAAACACTGATAAGGTGACCGTATGATGTTCTCAAACCGTAACATCGATGCTCCAATATGAAGCATACACAGTAATGGTTTAATGAATTACGTGGCAAATCCTCAAATGATGACACCGTAGAGTCACGTATGAATTTGACCACATATAAACTTTGAAAATGACATGATGGTTTACGATCATTTATGATAGCAGGTTAGATATTTTAAAGAATAAACAAACAAAAGTCAAGGAAAGTCACCGTGCAGATGGACAATGCAACAACAGACTAAACATTTTGGTCTTCAAACAATTTCTGTTAGAAGCAGAAAGATTAAGACGTCCGAAAAACGTGTCAACAATTAATGTCACGTTCCACTTATCATCACTGATATTTCCCTCTGACAAATGGAACAAGTTATTAAGCAGATTGCACTATATTATATCAGGGGAGATAACAAGGTTATGACTGGCGATGCGATGACCTTAATTTTGTGGAAGTTTAATCTCCTTTGAGAAAGTAAAACCTTCCTTGATTTGACGAATCTGGACTGAAAAGTTTTTCCGTGTCCAAGCGCCAAGATATGAGGTGTGGGACTTGGAATTATATACACGTAAGAAAGTATCCCATTTTGAAAAATGAGAAAAAAACCTGACTAACATGTAAAGAACATCACATCGGCTAAACGGGAACGTACAAAATAAGAGAGTTCGGGTATGGAAACAAGAAATGTTTATTGTGAGGAAAAGTAAGAGACGGAAGCCCGATACACGGTTTGAAAACTATATTTATCTGACAATATGATATCAATACCTGTGGGTTTGAACCTTTTAGATTCATATGATAATTCCCCTTACTTAACAATCTCCAAACCGGGCAGTAATTCTCCCTAATGAACAGTCATTCTCTATACTAACGAGAAACAGAAACTGTTTAAATACACGAGAAATAATTCGTACATTACAAATGATTTCATATTTTACATATAATTCTTACATTGTACTTTTCTGACCGTGTTTAGATACCACATTTTCCTGACCTTATTAAGATATAAAAATGTCTGATAGATATCTAAAAGTAACTGCAAAAACACAATGT